CTTGTTATATTTAATCATGTCCAACAGACCACACATTATGCTAGAATTGCACTCATTGATTTAATTTTGGCTTTTAATTCAAATGAAAAGGCTCTTGGATTTTTTGTATCAATGGTGTTCTTGTCCTATGGATCACAGATTTCCTATCCTGTGGATTTGTTTTTGGATTTGGACAAATGCGTTTGACTTTCAACATAAATTGATTGCAGTGTTAAATAGATGTTGTCATAGATTTGATCCCAGATCTATTCTTTCTGATTGTATAATAAAGACACAAAATAACTCCATACCATTTTAGCACCTAGGTTTTTTTTGCTAACGCAAGTATGCTGATGATTGTTGGCCTTGCAACGGACATTGAAACAGACTTATATTTCACCCATGTACGCAGTAGAGGAAATTAAAAATAAAAAAAATCTTCTTTTACCCTCAACAATTTGAGTTTTCATTCCTTGGAGCACTTTTGATAGGAACTGGCCACTGCAGACCGGAACACCCCACAAGAGCTGCAGTTTTGGAGATAAAACAGACAGGTGCCATGATAACCAGATAATCAGTGTTATTCACTTCACCGGTCAGTGGACATAATGTTATGGCTGATCGGTGTAAGGTCTAAGTATTTTCTAACATAATCATGTGGTGTGGAAACCTGAATGTTTGAACTAAAGAAAAACTGAAGAATGAATAGTAAATACAGCTAGTAAAAATATAAGGATGCCGTAGGTGCAAATAAGAAACATTAAACACAGAGAACAAAGCTAAGTAAGTGACCCTCAGTTATAGACCAATGTGTACTCATCCCCTCTCTTTAATACTCTTATAACTCCAGAAACAATCCCACCACTATGTCCATTTGGTAGCTGTTCTGGAGTTTTCATTTATAGTGCATGGTCCTCATCAGCAAACTGGGTCTGGTTGTCATGAATGATGTTTAAATTTCAGTTTTAGGATCTTTCATCCATATTGGTATAAAATGATCAAAAGCTCCAGAGCAGCAACTAAATGAACCTTGTGATTAGTCTGTTTTGTTAACTTCTGTTTCCAAGTGCAAGACTGTTGATTATTTGATTACTTTTCAACTCATTCGACTCCATTGTTGATGTTTCATTCTAGATTAACTGTATTGTTTTGTTTGTAAATGTTTACCGTGTGGTTAAGCCAAAGACAATTTCCACATTCTGGTCTATTAAATTCCTTTTCCCCTGCCATCTAAGGTTTTTATAAAAAGTCAGACGTGCTTGAAATTAACCAAGAAACATAAAACTAATATTGTACCTCCACCTAGTGGCCACAAACCGTTACAACCAAGAGTTATAGAGTGTTGCAAAGATGTGCTGTAATGTGACAAAAAAGTCCAAAATTCAATGTCTGAAATTGAAATCACATTTATTGTTTGTTCTGGAGTTGATTCACTTAAAACTTAACCCTTTGTGTACAGTACAGTTCTTTCTTCAACTGCATCTTTTTCTTAAATCGTCATTGTCATCTCACTTTTGTCTTTATACACACTCATTCACACATGCACACACACACACAAAACAGCCAGTTACACCAGCTGAGGCTTAGTCAGGTAATCTTAAAAGGGAACTCTAATGCACCGGCCTCTGATTCACATCTTACACAGTAATGCAGCCGCAGACCTGCAAGAGGCTACAGCGTCTATTACCTTGTGAATGCAGAGAGAGGATCATATCTCACCGTACAAAGTGGTCCCCTTTAAGGCCTGCTTATTATAGTCCTTTGATATTAGGACGTGACAATCACACTAAAATGTTTTCCTCGCGTTCAGTCACTCGCCTGCGCCCGACCTGCAACATTCTCACCAGCACCAAAGTTTCAGCTTGGAGAGACTAACGGATAAAAATAAAAAATACTCTAAGATTCACCTTGCAGGACTGCAAATACAGAAATGCACAGAGCAATAAAAAATACATAGCATCAAAGGTTTAAATCAAATCACGATAGAGGAATTAAGATCACTTATTTTTTTAACTACCTTGCTAATAGAACTGCTGATAGCTCTACTAGCATCAACAGTTTCTTAAGTACATGTAGTTATATAGTATGTATCTATACTCCATAAAAGGGTTTAGGTATTGTTTGGATCGAACAGTCATGTTTCAAACATGGGCAACACTGGAACAAACTTTAAAGGTCGTCAGCCTACATGGACCCTTTAGTTATTGCTTCAGTTGTGGGTTCATATGAACGCACGCTGAAGCAATGTAGAAAGAAACAGACTAGCCTGAGGCTAGGCGTGTTTCTGTGTTTGGACTGAGGGCTGACAGTTCTCAAGAGCCCTGCGTGGAATTGAGTTTGGTTTGTGTTCGTGTTTAATTGGAATAATCTAACCCTACAGTAACAACATGAGTCCCATGAAGCCGCTCCAGGAGCCCGAGTCTTTCAAACTGGGGGGGAACTCGGCGGTGCATGTAGTGGATGTAGATCACCGCCGGTTCAGTCCATTGTTCAGTGTGGAGCCTTGGGGAACTCGATAGCTGTGCAAGAGCTTCCTCCACCATCAGGTCCAATGTAAACAGCTTTTACAGAGGCAAGACAAGAAAGTAAACAGACTCTTTGGCACATCCTAACATGACAACGGATGCATATAAGTCCTGATCAGACTACGTACAGACAGGCTCCCACATTTAGTTAAGGGGGTGTCTTACTATCAAGCAGTTTTACTTCTGTCTGTCTCTTTAAAATGGGAAACAAATGCACACGCTATGTATGTACATAAACATACAAACTAACACACACACGCACGCACGCACACACGCACACACACAATGTGCACCAGTGTAAAAGTGCACCGCTGACCTATTTTCAAACATTCCAAAGTTCTACTTTAGCTTTAAAATGACCTAGCTTACCACATTCAGATGCATAATAATAAATAAATAATA